AGGTCGCCCAGGCCCGGCAAGCCCCGGAGGTCCTACAGATCCGCAGCTCCCAGCTGCCCCACATGTCTCACACGTCCCACAGGCCACAAAAGTCCCCCAGGTTCTACAGCTCCCACAAATCGCACCTGTCCTACAGTTCCCATCTGCCCACAGGTCCCACGTGCCACCTTTGCTGTTATTAGGGCGCTTTGCTGGGTAATGGGGTGCAAGGTCGGCCAAGACACGCGTCCGCGGATGGAGGACACTCAGCACAATTGGCAGGGATGGGAGGGAGGGGTAGGATGCAAGATGTCGCGCGAGCGCACTTGGCTTGCCTCTTCACAGTTACTCACTATGAATACTACTCTCCTCTCTCCCCTGAAGCTGTCTGGAAGATCTCCCACCCCCATCCGCGTCCAAATGTCCCCCCAACTGGTGACCTACGAAGCACAGAGATGTAGCGATAGAAGCCCAACGTGAAACATAGCAGAAGACAATGAGCGGGGAACGATATTAACACATCGCTGCGTTCCTCCTTCTTGTGTAGCAGCGCGCGTGCATGAGTTGCCCCAGTAAATTGGTTATCATCTTCAGCACGCTGTAGCTGTAGCGCTGGTGTAGCAGCATGGCTGTGGTGGAGAGCATACTGTTTGGCTCGAGCATCCGAGCGTCGAGGAAAAATCGCACCCAGTCTTTGCATGCAGTTCCGTGTTCGCGCATGGTTCCGTGCTCGCATCACTCCCGCGAGTTCCGTGCTCGCGCATGGTAGCGGGGCCCGTGGTTGGTCTCCGTGGGCTCCACCTAGGCAGCGGGTGGCCCCGCGCTTGAGAAGCCCGCTTGGCAGCGGTCAGTCCCGCGCTTGGATGGGCCCTGCGACCTGCGGTGGCCCCGCGGTCAGCGGCAGTGCGTGCCCAGCAGGCGCGGCGGGCGCTTCGTGGGCGCTCGTGGGCGTCGGGCCGGCAGGAGCGATGGGGGAGCTGGCCCAGCGGCTGAAGGCCACGGGGGCCAGGCAGCAGGAGCTGGCGCAAAAGCGCCAGTGGCGGCAGCAGCGCGGGCAGGCCGCGGAGCAAAGCCTCCGGGCGGCGCAGGCCGAACTCGCGCAGCTTCGGGGCGGCGCCCCCCTTGGCGCCGCAGCGTGCGCTGGCGGCGGAGCACCGTGGCGGCGCGACCGTGGGCGCGCGGGCGCTCGGGAAGCCGTCGAGCTTCTCGGGCCTGCGCGAGGCGTGGAGGCCATTCCGCTTCGCCTTCGGCGCCCGCCTGCGCGGCGCGCGCCAGCATGGCGCGCCAGCGTGGGCGGCCAGGTCGTGGGCGCTCGCGACCTGGGTGGGCCCGCGCTCGCCCTGAGCCGCCAGCTGCACTGCGTGCCCGCGATGCTCGCCGCGGACGGCGCCCGGCGCCAGGGCGACGTGGAGCGGGGCTGCGGCGCGGGGGCGAGCCAGACGTGCGGGTCCGTCGCGGGGCGTTTCTCCGCGCCCTCCTGCGGGGGGGAGTTCGGGAAGGGGTCCCGGCGGCGCCCTGACGGTGGGGAGCGGGGGCTTCGAGAGGGGCGCGCGGCGCTGCGAGGAACAGAGCGGCAAGGTCCTGGGTTGGGGCGCAAAGATCTCCGTGCTCGTCGGCGGGATGCCGAATGTGAAGGTCCGGGGCCGCTTCGAGCTCGGTGCTGTGAGGTTGGATGCGCATCGGCCACTGCGAGCGGAGATCCTGGACTTCGCCGTGGCCAGGCGGACTGGGGCCCAGTGCGTCGACGACCCCATGGTGAACGGAGCCGTCAAAGACGGCAAGGGCAAGACCTCCTGCAGAGGCACGGGGAAGGGCTCGAAGGCGAAAGGACAGGACATCGTGGGCAGAGCCAAGTCCAAGGACACCCCTAACCCCGTTGCGGGCAAGCACTGCCACTGCTGCGAGAAGGCCGACCACTTCAAGAGCGAGCGCAGCAAGTCGGGGGCCGGCATTAAGGCGGGGGAGGTGGACGCGAGCGGCAAACCACTGCAGGGGCAGGAGCCCGCGGCGTGACGGAGCAGGCCCGAGAAGGAGAAGGAGGAGGCAGGGGGGGGAGGAGGAGGAGGAGGAGGAGGAGGAGGAGGAGGAGGAGGAGGAGGAGGAGGAGGAGGAGGAGGAGGAGGAGGAGGAGAGAGGAGGAGGAGGAGGAGGAAGGAGGAGGAGGAGGAGGAGGAGGAGGAAGGAGGAGGAGGAGGAGGGGAGGAGGAGGAGGAGGAGGAGGAGGAGGAGGAGGAGGAGGAGGAGGAGGAGGAGGAGGAGGAGAGGAGGAGGAGGAGGAGGAGGAGGCGGAGGAGGAGGCAGGGGGGAAGAGGAGGAGGAGGAGGAGGAGGAGAGGAGGAGGAGGAGGAGGAGGTAAGGAGGAGGAGGAGAGGAGGAGGAGGAGGAGGAGGAGGAGGAGGAGGAGGAGGAGGAGGGAGGAGGAGGAGAGGAGGAGGAGGAGGAGGAGGAGAGGAGGAGGAGGAGGAGGATAGGAGGAGGAGGAAGAATAGGAGGAGGAGGAATAATAGGATGAGGAGGAGGAGGGAGGAGGAGGGAGGAGGAGGAGGAGGAGGAGGAGGAGGAGGAGGAGGAGGAGGAGGAGGAGGAGGAGGAGGAGGAAGGAGGAGGAGCGGAGGAGGAGGAGGAGGAGGAGGAGGAGGAGGAGGAGGAGGAGGAGGAGGAGGAGGAGGAGGAAGAGCAGGAGGAGCGGCAGCAGGAATCAGCAGCCCCAGCGCGCAGCTGGCCCTGCCCGCGCCAGGCGCGCCGATGCCGATGTGCGCGGCGTGCCCGACGCTCTTCCACCGCATCTGGTGCCCAGGTCAGGGGGGAACGCCTCTGGTATGCGGCATCCACTCCATTTGCCCCCCGGGCGCCGTCGCCATGGGTCTAGGCCCTGTGCCGTCAGGTGTGCGGGGCCCCGGCTCGGGCGGGTGGCAATGGGGAGTGACCTCAATAGGGGGTCAAGAAGGGTGCCGCAGAAGGGGGCCCTTGCTTCGGCCCGCTCTGAGGTTGCCCCCCATCGCCCCCAGACCGACTGGCGTATCGACCAGCTCGTCTCCAGACAAGCCGTGGGCGATCCATTTACGACTATCATGATCCAGCCTGCCGGCGTGATTGCTGCGGTGGGCCATGGTGGTGTCGAGTTCGCCCTTGTGGACTCGGGGTCGGGGGTCGTGGCTTGCCCTGTGGATTATGCCCCCGATGTGCCCATGCTGCCTCCTCTCCGGGATCTGCGCCCCATGGTGAGTGCCGCGAGTGAGCCCATCATGAACTGCGGCGCCAAGGACATCGCTTACGTGTTGGACAACGGGGAGGTGCTGGCAACTGGTGACTAACGTGTTCTGCCTGTCGGCCTCCGCATTGCGACCGGGAAGGGTGGCTGTCCTTATCGCTCAGGAGCGTGAGATGCTGAGCGCGGCTAGTGGAGGCTGCGTCGACCTCGTGATGCAGTCGGACTTGCCGTGGCTGCGGCTTCGGCGGCAGGCCCAGGGGGCCTTGCAGCGCGCGCCCTGCGGCCATCGAAGTCGGAGCTTCCGCGTCTGCGGATGAGCCCGCGACTGCGAAGACGGGGCGACCCGCGCTGGCGGTGGGCCCCGTGGCGGCGGATGTCGTGCCTGTAGAGGCCCCTGCGCCTCTGGCGGCCCCGAGGGTGGCGTCGCGACGCGCCCTTGCTCCCTTCGGCGCTTCTGAGCAGGCGACGCCGCGCCGAATCGCGAAGGCCCCCTGTCGGCCCGTCGGATCACGCGGAGGAGGGGCATTCCCTTGACCCGTATCCCATTTTAATCATGGTGCAGCTGCTGCGCGCGAGTTGCTGCCACTGACGGTCCTTGCCATCGGATGCGCATGCGCGTTGCGATGCCTTTGAAGCTGACTGCGATGATGGACTACGCGTTTGGTCGAGACCAGAAGGTCGGGGTGGCCGCGCCCCTGCTGGTGGGCGAGAAGGGCGCCGTCGAGTGCGCGATTTGCAGCGTCATCGAGTACCTTGGTTATTGGAGTGCGAAGGCCATAGTTGAGGGTCGACGGCGAGCCCGTCATCGAGGCCCTGGCGGGGGCGATGCACGTCGGGCGCGCGGACCCCGCGCTTTGGGAGATGAAGCCCAGGTACTTTCCAGTGCCCATGGCGCCGTCGAGAACGTGAACGGGGTGAAAGACTTGCTGGGGGCCGCGGTGCTGCGCCTGAGGGGCGAGGCCAAGGTCGAGCTCCGCGCTGGTCACCTGCTGGTGCCTTGGTTTGCGCGGCATTGTGGCGTGTGCATCTGCGCGCGTCGCGTGCGCGCGGGCGGCTGGGCGGCCTGCGAGAGGTCGATGGGCGGGCCATCCATCGTCGAGATCGCCCTTCGGGGGGCGCCCGTGGGACTGGGCCCCCGATGCTTGCCGTCTTTCGTTTCTGAGCAAGCGGTGGGCCGCGCGCATCTGGCTTGGCAAGGGCTGGGAGACCGACGAGCGCGCCGTAGCGTTGGGCAACGAGGTTCGCGTGGCCAGGTCTGTCTGCCGCATTGCTCAGGGCGTGCGGTGGAACGAGGGGATGCTGGATAAGGTGCTCTGCGCCCCGTGGCTTCCGCGCCTGGGCGCCCAGGAGCTCCAGCGATCCGTCCAAACGGCATGTCGCGAGGGCCTGCTTCGAAAGGTGCGGCCTCGCCTCGGAGTGCCCCGGCCGCGCTGGCCCCGCGACGGGGCGCGGCGACGCCCGCGAGGCTCGCTTCCCAGAGATCTGGGGGGAGGAAGATAAAGCGCCAGCGAGCCGTGGTGCCGCGGCGCAGGCGGCCTCCGCGGGGGCCCAGCTGCCCGCGGCAGGCGGGCCTCGACCCGTGGCCCCTCCAGGGGTCCCCGCGCGCGCCCGGGCGGCTCCCGACGCCGAGATGGCGGCTCCCGCGGAGGGCGCGGCCCCTGCCGCTCCGCCAGGCTTGCCCCGGAGGCCCGCGGCCCCGCCGTGGAGCCAGAGATCGAGACAGGTTGCGCTGATGCCGGCGGGCCCGCATCTGTGAGGAGGCGCCTGCGCGGTCGGCGCTCTGCGTTCGCGCGGCCAGCCGTCCCGTGAGGGCGCCGGGGGCGCTGCGACTCCGGGGCCTTCGCGGCGGCGCCTGACATCGGGGCGCAGGGCGCCGAGGGCCGCGAGGCCGGCGAGGTGCTCGACCCCGAGCTCGCGCGCGCTGGAGGCTCCCGGGGGCGCCGGGGCTCTGCGGGCAGGTGCTTTTGCGAGCGCGCGCCGATGAGGGGCGCTAGGGGTAAGAAGATGCGCGGCGTGTGGCTCGACGAGAAGCGCGCGCGGGACGGCGAGGCTGCCGCCCCGTCGCGCGGCGGGACATGGCGGGCCGGGGTTGTGCGAGCGCGTGCCGATGAGGGGCGCTAGGGGTAAGAAGGTGCGCGGCAGGTGGCTCGACGAGAAGCGCGCGGGACGGCGAGGCTACCACTCTGTCGCGCAGCGTGGCCATGGGGTTCAACGCGTGCGACTGGCTGGGCACGCGCGCGGCTGAAGCGATCGTTTCGCTAGCTGCTTCTATGCGGCGTCCTTATTCCAGCGGCTGGGCCAGGGCGCTGGGTCTTTGCGACGTCGGCGCGGCGTTCTGGCGCGCGGACTGCCCGCCGGACGAGCCGATCGCGATCGTCCCAACTGCGAGCGGGGACGTTGCGGGGATGGTGTGGCAGATGCCGAAGGCGATTTACGGGGCGCGCCGTGCGTTTCAGTTGTTCTTAGAATTCCTTGTGCAGGTCATCGACCAGCGCGGCTACGTGGAACTGACCGCTGAAGACTATGCGTCGGGTCTTCTGCTCGAGGCAGTGCGACTCCTCGGCCGTCTTGTGGGGCGACGACATCCTAGCCGAGGCGGAGAGCGAGGGCATCGACTATCTTGGCGCCGTGATCGGCCGGCTCTGCAACGTCAAGGTCTTCCCACGTGTCGGACCTGGTGGTAGCTTGATGGGCCCTTGCCTTATTAATCGTTGCATTTGCTACGTGCCGGGATTCGGCTACGAGTGGAACGAGGGCTCGAAACGCGTCGCGCTGCCGTTTGACAACGCGTGTAACTTCAAGGCGAAACCCCATTGGCGCCCATGCAGCAAGTACATCGGCAGGGGCGATCTGGCGAGTCTCGGCGAATTCGACGGCGAAGTGCAGTCCAAGTATCGTAGCAACGCCGGTCGCGTATGCTACGTCTACGTCTCGTCCGGTCGCTTCGCCTTCCAGTGCTTGGCCAGGGAGTGGGCGCGCAGATGTCCGCGCCCCGCAGGCCAGGCAATGCAGGCTGGACCGCTGCGCGCGGCGCCTCGCAGGCTGCCCCTTCTTGACCTTCGTCTTCAAGCACGAGCCGCAGGCAGGTGGCTCTTTGGCCCCAGTCGGCAGCAACTGGGATGAGGAGCGGGACCGTTGCTGCTCGTGGGCTCGCATTTGATCGAGTCGTGGTCGTGGCGGACCAGGTCCGCGCCCTCTCCGTCGCGGAGGCCGAGCTTTACGGCGTCGTCGGCGGCGCCTCTTCAAGGATATTGCGGGCATTTGCGGTGCTGAAGCGGCGCGGTGGGTGACCGTCGGCATCGATGCCAGCGCCGCCATCGGCGTCGGCTCGAGGGCGGCGTGGGGAAGACCCGCCGTGCCGCGACGCGTGGGCTCTGGGTCCAGGGTGTCGTCTGGGAGAAGCAGAGTGTCCAGGAAAAGATCCCCAGCGAGACCAACGTCGCCGGCCTGGGGACGAAGGCGGTCGAGCCGAAGGAGGCACCAGGAGCTCGTGAAGAGGTTGCCGCTGGCGAAGCCCACTTGCCGCCGACTCTTGGCGGTGCTGGCGGCCCTGGCAGCGATGCCTGAAGCGCGAGAGGCGCAGTGACAGGCGCCGTGCATGTACGCGTCGACTTCGTGGTAGTGAGCTTGATGCCTCTGCCGCCGCCTGAGCGCAGTCATGGCTGAGGTGGCTGCTACTTCGCCCAGGCCGTGGGTGGCTCCGCGCCTGGGTCGCTGGTTAGCGGAAGCCCCGCGACAGCGTCCGCGTCTGCGACTCCAGGCCGCGTCTGCGGATGAGCCTCGAAGAGGCGACGGGCATGGTGTCCATATATGAGGCTGCAGGAGACACCCGTGTGATGCGACGGATGAGCCTTCGGAGGTCTTCCTCGGACGCGTGGTGATCTGGCGCAGGCGCGCATCCGTACCGCTCCATCCGATGAGGCTTTAGAGGCCACGGCATGGGCTGACGGAAATCACCGCGCGCCCAGGATTCAGGCTCGTGTAGTGTGTTAGTTAGGCAGTGCCGGGTGGCTGCCTGACACTGCGCTCTGAGGAGGCGTGGTGAATTTCAGGGCCTAGAGATGTGGCGATTGAAGCCCAGAGTGAAACACAGCAGAAGACAGTGCGCGGGGAACGATATTTACAGATCGTTGCGTTCCCCCTCTTGTGCAGCAGCGTGCGTACATGAGGTGCAGCTTTTTTGGTAGGATTTTTGCAATCCGATTGTTATTCGGTGTTTAACCAATGGTAGTCTCGCTGCAGCGGGGGATCTCACTGTTCAGAACGGCGCTCTCGCCCTAGCTGGGCCATTTTTCCTACAGGCCTCGCAA